AGTGTGTGTGTTTTCTATCCAGAATATATTGGACAATTTTGAAGTACTTGGTTATAATATAAAATATTCTAAAATGGCCATAACTTTGTTAAAAAGCCAAAGAATCTGCAACATTTAGATTTAATCTGTGTGTGATGATGAAATGCTACGATCATGATTTTTTCGGTAAACCATTGGTACCAGAGCAAAATCTATCCAAACTGGTATAATATAAGGTCTGTGATAAGGTTTTCTCTTCAAAGAGTGTTGCTCTTATTTCTGAAAATATTGCAATAAATAAATAAATAAATTCAATTAAAAGAGTACAAAAACTGATGAGTTTTAAATTGTTCCATAGAAATGAAGACCAGGACCACTCCAGGGTGAACAAAGGTGTTAAAATGCTGAGAAGAACCTCCAGGTAAACATTTGAACAATCTTGACAGTGAAACCTGCCGCTCTGACACATCCTGTCTGAACATCTTCTCGTCCGCTTTAAAGGTCAACTTTGATCTGCTCAGATAAATTTGGAGCAGAATTGAGGTACCCTGGTGGAATTATGGAGCCGTAGAAATTAATCTGCTTGATTTCTTTTCAACTTTTATTAGCAATGAGTTTGACTTTATTTATGTGTGGTAGCTCCTAACAACGTCATTCTTCCCCTGCTCTTCAGGCATAATTTTGACTCCAGTGTTAGCAAACAAACTGATATCTTTTTTTGTCTAAAGACAAAAGTTTCATAGTTTTGTGATCCATTTCTGTAAGTCACTTTAATTGACTTCTGCCTATGAAAACTGCAGAAAGTTCACTTTTTTTACAAATCAGGATATGATTAAATAAATGTCTTGCTTTTTTTTTTTTATTAATGAGCATTCAATCTTCCCATTATGCAATATCAATGATATCTGCATCATAAACAGATTGTATGTAGCACATCTTCAACTAAAAACATAACTGATACAATCCATAAAACAGATCTCATGTTCTAACTTATCTCTCCTTCTCCTTTCTTCCTTTATTGCACAACTAATTATAATCTGACATAGAAATACATGCAACAGTTTAGCTGAACTCAATTTGTAAATTGAACTTTTGGTTATAACATCACTGAATTACTATTCAGAAGTTACAAATCAGTAAATAGTTTTAAGCTAATACTGCATAATAATGCAAAATGCATTCAAAACATGTGAGGTTTGTAGACTGCAGCAACTGTAGTATTGTAGATATATCATCGCCCATAAGAGACCTAACTAAATATGGCACTTGTTTTGACTGTACTTTTACTTATGCAACAAAAGATCATCTTTGGTTAAAGGCAACATGTCTTGAACAATCCTTAATGTAGTAGCAATTCCAAATGGTCTATACACACCAACATTTGATATATGATTATGTTAGAAAATACATGCCATTCCAAATGAAACACAAACACTAGTATACTTGACGGTACTGTGATTTTACATGTATAAATATCAGGATAATATCAATACTGAGTTTGCTACTATATATAGTTTCATGTACTATAAGGCAATCCACTTAGGATACACAAGAAGGTGCTTATCTCCAGTATCTGCAGTATAAAGCATTTGTGAGTTTTCATCCCCAGATTTCACATAGCCGATCATTAATCTTAATTTGCTGCTACTGTCAGTTGGTTTTTATCTCAATGATTGTCTTACAACTGGCATGACATTTTTCAATAATGAAAGAGTCATAAAAACTAAAAACACTATTTTATGCAAGTGTCCCATTGGTGCCAGGCCATTCAGTTATAATAGTAGTAAGTGAAAGGCAAAAGAGTAGGCATGATAGATGCTACAACTGGAAATAGTTTCTTTAGAAGAGGAACAGTGCTTGTGCAGTCAGAAACTGGCATAGAGGCATTAGAGTTCTCCATTTTTAGAAGGTAGGAAACAGAAACTCTTCAGTGTGAGGAGGCAAGGTAACAGACAATAAGTATGCGATATCAAAAGCCTTTGAATTTCAAATATTCATCTGCGTTGACAGGCTTGGCAGACTCCCAGAACGGGTCCTCGCCAAAATCAGCAAAGCACTCCCTGTCGCCAGGGTCTCCTATTTGAGGCACAATAGAGGGCTGAAAATAAACATTGTAGCAGAAGTCACAAATGAGGTCAGTACATAAGGGGTAGATTACAGACCATTTGCACTGACGACACTATCCTGTGTAGAAAATAGCAGATTAGCAGTGGTGCCAAAACAGAGATCCTCCAAGAAAAAGTCTGGTTTCTTATGTCTGGCTTTGGAAACAAACTTGTGCTTCAGAAAACACATATTCCCATGTAAATTTATACTAATGGTCTTTTTTTTTAATGTATCTTTGGTCAATTTACATTTACTATAATTTATAAACAAAAATCTCCACATCATGTTTCTTTAAATCTGTACAGAGATCTTTAACACCTGCTGCCATCTATTGCCCATAACGGCAGGGAAGTGATGTCACTTGCAAATGGTCTATGACATCACTTATGGGTATGTTTTCCCAAACCAGAAGACATGTTGGCAAAAAGATTGGGCAGTTGATGTATTTCATACAAATACCAATAAGGAGTCAGGAAATCATATGGAATAGTTACACTTTACTCTGTGTGTGTGTGGATGGAGTAGGTGGGGGGTGGGGGCAGGGGTGTGAGGGGGTGCTTCAAATTATCAATAAATACGACATTTAGAAAGCAGTTCAATGGCAATGTCAAAGCTAATGCATTTCTCTCAACTAAAGCAATGTTATAAATGTAAAGGATATATTCATAGGACAGAAATTAGAGGACATTTACTGAGTTTGTGGAACCATACTCAAAATGTGTAAGATGACACCCGTTTTTTAGAATATTTCATTTAAGTTACTGATGAGATAATCCTTAAAGGATTAGAAAAGATGAGGTTGATCAAAGAATAAAGTAATTTTTTCTTCAATCAACAGCTACAATGAAATTGTTTACATCAAATATTTCGTTGTCTGCCAAAGCCTACTACAGGAAATTCCTGGAATCTCTATCTACATCAAAAAGACAGGGGACAGTCTCAACAATGATATACATCCAGAACGTTTTTTGTGCAGACTCCACAAACTTTTAAAATTCATTTCCGTGAATGAAATCAATCGTCAGTGAAAGTGCATACAATGAGAGCAAGGTTGATATATATAGAAGGTGCACATGTAATGAAAATGATATTTAAATAGAAATGAATTTTCAAAAAAAACTTCCAGGTTAAAGCATTCATACAAAGTAAATACACCCCTCTTCTCATCGTCATAATAGCTGACCTTACTAAAATAAAATATATCTTATGAAATTCCAAATGTGGTAGGTATCTTCATAAATGTAACATGTCGGTACAATAAATGACACAATGAATGACACTACTTACTATCACATCCCACACACTGGCACTGCTAACTTTTTCACAATGACACAGTTCAACCAATGTCACACCTAACACAATGACACAATTTACCCACTGTCACACCTGACACAATGAAATTTAACCACTGTCACACCTGACACAATGACACAATTTACCCACTGTCACACCTGACACAATGAAATTTAACCACTGTCACACCTGACACAATGAAACAACTTAACCACTGTCACACCTGACACAATGAAATATCTCAAATATTGTCACACAGCATTTAAATAAGTGCACTATAACATAGCAAACAAAAGACAAGAAAAGAAATTGAAATCAAAACCTCAGGTAAAAATGAAAACTGTTACTTGTGAATACTTTTGAGCCAGGCAGTGATATATAACCCCATGTTCCCAACACCCATGTTGGCCAGGTACACAGTTTATTAATCTAATTGTACTTCACCCAAAGTGTAATGAGCTCAGATCAATATACTGGCAAAGAGGCATTAGCGTTCTCCATTTTTAGAAGGTAGGAAACAGAAACTGTTCAGGCAAGGTAACAGACAGGTACATATTATATCATAAATCTTAGTGTGCCAGGAGTAATGGGCTCAGATCAAATCAGAACCTTTGAAGTCAAAACATAGTGTATCTCTTTACATGTGAAGATGTGCATCTTTATAAATATCTGTATACTGTTGTCTTAGGGTTTCAAGAGTTTTCAAGGCACCTTGATACCACTAGGGAATATTCTGCCTTTTGACAGATTTTTTAATCAAGGGTATTTTGAATATTCTTTCGCCCCTTTTTTATACTAAGGCTAATTCATTTCTGGGGATAAAATCCCTGGCTTTGAGGCAGACTGTCTAAATTGCTGACAACAGCAGTCCAAGAAAAAAATGTTGTCTGAACAATAGTTATTTTCGAGGTGGTAAGGGAGCACTGAAATTACCAATTATCCAGGCTATTAGGGGCAGGAGAGAGAGAGGGAGGGGGGTGTCAGGGAGAACATATGTTCAATTCACTGTATCGTTTGCCATGTTCACATTTAACTTTTCACTTTTAAACAACATAAAAAAGGAGTAGCTACACATACTTTAACTATATTATCAATGCTCCGAATAATAAGAGAATTAATGATCAGTTATACTCTTTACTGCACACACACACAAACACACACACACACACACACACACACACTGGATGGTTTCATATGCTGGGTTTACTTATATAAGATTATCACATTTTTTTATGGTACATTTCTAAGATTTTAAGTAAAACCCCAAAACTGAAGATGTGCTGAGTGATTTACTCTTAACTTCAAGGGAAAAAACAGAGAATGCTTTGCTATAAAAAGACTAGCTGAAAGTGTAGTTATCCCATTTTTCTCCCAGAATCTGATTTAAATGAAATTCCTCAACTTCCTCAATTTCCCTTTCCACATAAAAAACATTCTCAAAAAAGGCCAAAGTTCAAGTCTCTAACTAAAATATCACGAAATAAAGCATGTCCCACTCTGCTTTATAAGACCTTCACCACTACTGTACAGCAAATGAGCAATTGTGTTAGGTGAGATCCCAACCATTTATAGAACACAAAACATTGCGTTAGATGTGACAACAGAAAGTATTCTCAACCTACCTTGAGTTTTCTCAGAGCCACTTCTTCCCAATTCAGTGATTTGAACCATTTGTGATTCTTCACATCTTCAGCACCATTCTGAAACAGGACCACAGTTTTTATCATTATAAACATATTAAATCCTGCATAAGTATTTTCAAGGTATGACAAAAAACATCACAATTTTCATGAAAGCAGCCTGTATGTTAAAAACTATTATAGATATTTACAATTCCATTTATTCCATTTATTGAATTATATATATATATATATATATATATATATATATATATATATATATATATATATATATATATATATATCACATACAGATTTGTCCATACTAAATGACCTATTTTACATTTTAAATATTGAATAGATGGGAGGGAAACATGGCCACATGCAGACCAGTATGCTTGACAAAATGTGCAATATGTCCTGTTACAGTTTTCAATGACAGAACACAGATTTATAACGAGGTAATACTCTACCTTCATATTGCCCAGTCTTCTAGTTCTATCTGCAACTAGCAGCTTTTTTATCAGGTCTCTGCAATAAGAAAACAAAAATACTTATAAATAACTTGATAAACTTGCTGCAGCTTTCAGGCCAAATGCAAGTTTTTCTTAAAGAATTTAAACCCAAAAATTGGCGTTAACTTTTAGACTAAATCAGAAATTATCCAATTGAATGAAAAATTGTGCCTTTTTTATTAGCAAAACTAGATAGCCAATGTGGTTCCAGGCTGACACGCACAACTGCCAATGTGGATTATTTAGGATTTATCTTATATTGAAGTAGACCACCACATGACCAATACCAAATCAAATTACAGCACAGCATATTGCTACGTACACAGATCATTTACACAGACTTGAACCTGGATTTAAAAATATGAAAAGGACCAAACAGTTAATAGTCCAGAGTTCTGAGGGCCAGCATCAGGATTTGAATCTAATGTCTTGTTATTCCCTAATTTAAAAAAAAAACTCGCCTGACTGAATGGTGCGAACCAATGGTGCATGGACCAGGTTCGTCCCAGTGTAAACACAGCTGCAGGACTTACTTGGCAATGAGGTCTAGATGTTTCGGCCAGTCTATCTTCCCTGCCAGGATCTTCTCATAGATTTGGAATGGGACGTCATCAAAGAAAGGAGGATAGCTGCAGAGAACAAATTTTAAAGAATAATTTCATGTTTACCAATTCTATAATTATAAAAAAATAATGGTTTATTTGATGCACTCTGCAACATCTGATTCAGCTACTTTTTTCACATAAAATGAAGTTTCTGATATAAGATTCTATCATGTCGAGAATTTTGCTGCTACATTCTGATAAATGTATAATTAAGTAACATGGCAATCCCAAGAGTGTACAACTAAACTGCACATTTTTTCACTAAACTCACAAGCTGACATCAATTTGTCATGTATATTTTATTTGATCACTTACTTCACCATATACACAATCGTACATTTGAATAACATGTCTACAGCTTTATTATCCATATTATCACTTACCCTACCAACATCTCATATATTAGAATACCCAGGGCCCACCAGTCAACAGCTTTATTGTGTCCTTTACTTTGAATGATCTCTGGCGCTAAATATTCTGGTGTGCCGCACAGCGTCCATGTTCTGAAATAAAATATCAATACTGGCACTCAATAACAAGCATCATTTAGCTCTTGAATTTTCTATAATAAATAATAGGATGGGGGAGGAGGGGAGGGTGTTTATGTTTCTGTTCAAAATTAGCAGTAATTTCACATATGGTAATCATACATTCTAACAGAAAAAGTGTATGCTTCCATCGTATGTTCCGTAGGTACTATCATGATAATCTGAAAATTTCTAAATATTTAACAGGGTTCAAGTCATATAAAATGTTTTCAGCAGTTGATTTCCTGGTTATCAAAATATTGTAGTGACAAAAAGTTGGTAATAAGTGATTTCTATACCAATCACTATACCAAGTGTTCATGACCCATCATCATGGCATTTTACCTGTCTGATAGCTTCTTGGCAAATCCAAAATCCGTAATCTTCAGATGCCCCTCTCTGTCCAACAACAAGTTCTCTGGCTTTAAGTCTCTGTAAACTATCCCTGATCCGTGCAAATAATCCAGCGCACTAATGATTTCTGCTGCATAAAAGTTGCCTGTGGCAGTATTAAAACGTCCAGCGTTTCTTAGATATGAAAACAGTTCTCCACCGGGAACGTATTCCAGGAGCATATACAGGAAGGTTTCATCATGGTGTGCCCACAACCTACAAATATAATAATAATAATAAATTAATAAATAAACAAATTAATTAATTAAAAGATTCATTGATTTATTAATCAATCCATGAATAACTAAATTATAAAATAAATTAATACATAAATTAAATTATATGTAATAAATAAAATTGCACAGGTTTAAAGCAAATGATGACACAGTTATCTCACCAGTGAGTGAAAATGCCCAAAACATCAATTGAAAAATTGGCAAACTAGAAAACAGTCGTTCATGAGTTACTGTATACTGACAGGCTATTAGAAAATTTTGAAAAGTTGAGGCACTTTGTCAATTTTGAAGTATAATCTACATGATTTTATGGGCAAAAAAAAAGGCAATCAGTTTAAGATGCCTTCTCTTGGCATTACTTAGAATACAAAAAACCTTGTGATCCCACAGGTACATTGGAAACAAGAGAAGGCACGTGATTCGGTACGGCTGACTGCACTCAGCTGGAGTCCCCGCAGAGTTGGGTCAATTTACACAAACAGATGGTGTCTATGGGGATGGGGTCTTCTTTAGATCAACTGGGATAGGATAACTAGTTTTGGTGCTTTTTGTGCCAATTTCCTTGTTTTAGTTGTATAAGATGGCAGCCTTCATCAAGGAAGTCTTCAATTGCATCAGAAGTCTAGGCACAACTAACACAATGAGAACCATCCAAGACAACCCAAAGTCTTGTAACTTATACAAAATCAGGTGATATTTTGCAAGATTTAAAAGTTAGTAGGCTCAGAAAAAATGAGGGACTGAGACACCAGTTAAAAGCAGACAAAATTCATCCAGGAATAATTTTCTGGTTGTTAGAGATCTTACTGAATTCTTTTGCACAACCGCACTAGTACGTATTCATCATGTTTGGCATGTTACTTTTGTATTGCTTTCTAAGACGCATACAGTTTCACTCTTGTTGCTTAAAGGTTAACCCATCTCACACTGATTCCCTCGTGTTTTCTAGTCTTATACGACAATATACTATCCAGTATTCACAACCGTGTTTTGGGCTATGATTTCAGATAATTTCCATCCATCAGCACACTTCTTTCTTCTCTCACTTTATCACAATATACCAAGTACTTACATGTTGACGATGAACGGATGATTGATGGTCTTAAGGATGGCTTTCTCGTTCCTGACATGTTCCACTTGCTTCAGTCGGATGACCTCTGATATTGTCATGATCTTCAAGGCAAAATACTCCTTGGTTTCTTTATGTCTTGTTAACACCACACGGCCAAATGTTCCAGTGCCTGAAATATAATAATAATAATAATATATGGTTTCAATGGGTAGTCATTGCATATCCCCATACTTTCCATCATTGTCAGCAAGATCAGTTCACCCTAGGGCCCCCATCCCATATACAATGACAGATAGCAACAATAGTCAAAACCTGACAAAATTCATCTACAAATGGCCATGCACATCCCTGAGGACAAGTCTACTCTAACAATCACCGAAGTCATAAAATAGCAAATAATTTGACAACACAGTTAGCTTGTAGCATTATGTCAATTTCTCATACTAAAGTACTAATCAGAGACTTGTCCCTTCCATGATATACTGAAGTAACATATATATATACTAGTATAGAAGAGGAGATGAATTCCATCACTGCTAAAACATGTTTTCATCCACTGTTGTTATTATAGACTTGGGGCATTCAAAAACATTGTGCAGGTGGTATCACCACATGGGGAGATGTATATTTATGTCTGAAATAATGTTATACTGAATAATTATGTGGATAAAAGACATGTATTGCATTTACCAGTATATGGCCCCATTCAGAATAGGGAACTAACTAGTCCAAGAATCAAATATGGCCAACCCACTTGAATACTTCCCCACTGGATATCTATTCGGTGTCTGTTAGCGGATTAGACAGCAAGCTTTGTAGTGTGTCACCATATTTGACCCTCGGGTTAGTTAGTCCCCTATTCTGAATGGGGCCTATCAGTTCTTTAAAAAAAATGTGCCTCGTGTGTGTGTGTGTGTGTGTGTGTGTGTGTGTGTGTGTGTGTGTGTGTGTGTTTGTCATGTTAATTGCATGCACTGCTGTGCCATACAGCCATATGCAATGCTGTGATTAACAAAAACATTCCCAGTAATAAATGTCAATGTATCTTAAAACACCTATGCAAGGTTTTCCATTTGTCAGTATAGTTTCATCAAGCAATAAATAGGTACATGTACTTTATCATTATTATAATACTAGGTTTCAAAAAAGGAGAAAAGACTATAAAAAGATTAAGAAATACTCCTTGTATATTGTATATATACTAGTATTGGTGTAGTTATATTTATCACAACATGAACACATGATTAGCCACCTGCAATATGCATAATAGCATTATTTTCATGTATTCACATGTATATTTAGGCCTACAGACAGCAATTTCTTACTTAATTTCTTCCTTTTTTTTAGTGGATCATTTTATTGCAAAATAAGTGTGCTCATAAACCTAGGTCAAACAGTTTAGAGGAGTCCTTGCTCAACTATAAAGATTGTTTATTTACCCCCCCCCCCCCACCTCGAACCTGCCCCTGTTACTTGGCCTGAAAAAATGAAGACCCCCACCCCCTTCTGCTGCCCTGTAAAAACCACCACCAGCTCTCTCCCTGCTGAATACCACTGAACTAAAATAGCCCATGCGAGGCAAATACTAAATAAGATTACATAAGGCAACTATTATGTGAATATGATTAATGTGTTCATTGTGGAACTAATGTAACTGATCAATACCTAAAGTGAGGAAAATCAATACCCAAGCACTGAGTAAACAGAATCATCGATACAATATTCTCTTTCAAGTACAAAGGTGAAACGGTGTGTCTGGCTTTTGTAAAAGTATGTCTACAAAATAAACGTTAAATGTTTACAAACTCTCAGCTAAGATGTGAAGATCTGAAGAGGTGATATTTTTGTGCAGAAATAAAGCGATTACTGAGATTCACTGATTAACTCTATTATACAGACCCTAAACATGCAATTATCATAACAATGAAACTGTAGTTGTCAAAAATAGAGATCAGACTGAGATGTGAATTCTGTTCAGACTTGGAAAAAAGGGAAGATGACTATCAACGCTCAATGTCTTTTGTAGGACAGGACAATGTGAACGAGTTCAGCTCACATTATATTAATTAAATATATTATAATAATATGAAAAATCTTATATAAAAACCAAAAACATTATAATTTAAATATCCATAAAAATCAAAATAAATTAATATCAAAATACCAAAAAGAGTTCAAGATCAGTTCTGATGAGGTATTTTGTGTCAATATTTCCCACCCCTTTAAAAAATCCAAACAGTCTAGTAATTAAAACAGGGAAAATGGCAACTTGTCAAGATTACATTTGGGGCTGCAACATTAACAAAAACACCATTATATAAACAACTTTAAAACACCAATTCTGGATCGTGCTGTTGCTCACATACAACAAAATAAGGGACCGTTCATATGAAAAAACTTTTTTCTAAAAATCTATTTTCTATTCGCGGTATCTTGTGATCACTCCGAGGGCAGTCGAGAATTAATTACAGCTTTGGAAGTAACTGGGTCGCGCTGCCAGTAATTACGCCGCGGGGTATTCAGGGCACAGACCGTGATCACAATTAAGATACCGCGAATAGAAAATAGATTTTTAGAAAATAGATTTTTCATATGAACGGTCCCTAACTCCTTCATTCCATCAAGTCTGTAGCTCAGTGTTATAAAAACACAGAGGGGCCTAATAAGACATGACAAGTACTAGTATTTCTTTTTTTAGCAAGATATATTCAAATAGTAAGACTAAACTTATGAAACATCAGCTTTAATTATGATGAAGTGCTTAGCAACATGTCCATTCTGTTTTCTAGAACAGGCCTATAGTCAGAAAAGACCACACATTCTAATGTCCAACCATAGATTTAGTAATCTTTCACCACATATTCGATGTTTTGTTGTTGTTTTTTCTCCTGATATACACATGTACCAGAGTTGCTGACAGGCAAAGTGCACACAGGAAGCTCTGACAGCCATGGGCACCACAGCCATTACCGCACAGAAGAATTCAGACAGCATTCACAACCAGTTGAGCCATGGACTAGCTAGTCAGTGGATCAAATATTGAAAGCTCGGCTGACAGCAAGCCGCGAAATCCCTTCAAGGAATCTATTCAGAGTCTGTTAGGGGATTATGTGGCAAGCTTTGAAGTGGGTTGACCAACTGGTTGTGAAGGCTGATAATAAAAAACCTTTACATTTAAGTTAGGTATAGGCTGGGTTAACATAAATAAACATATAGATACATAAATACTGTAACATACAGCATGCAGACATAAGACAAAACATAATGACTCAATCTTTTCAATGGGGAAAATTTACCAATTTTTCAGAGGCATGAATTATATATTTCTTTGTAGCATTTGTGGTGTTTCTTCTGTATAGAATAGAACTTTAAGGTCACCTGCATTTTAGTTTTGATACCATCACTCAGTAGGAATGTTCTAACTTAAAAGACCTTATAAACTGAAAAAATGTACAGTGTCTCTAAAATTCACAATTTTTCCCATTGAAAAAGATCAAGTCATTACCGTAGATTCCACATTTGTTCTGCTTGTAGGGAATCTTAGAAAAATGAACTCTTACTAAGACACCCAGGTGTTCATTAGCGCAACAAGACCTGTACAAAATAGCCAGCGGCACTATGTACATGTAGTCAGCCATAGTTGATAAGTAATGCATGCACAAAGGATGGTGAAGGGGCATCATCTATTACTTGCCAAAGGGGTTGACTTGTGCGTTTGACAGAGCTGATAATACTGTATTAGGAATGAGCATGTTGTGCAATATACTGTAATGTTACTGGGCCAGATTTCATAGTGAATTGTATTACACTCACTGAATAGCACGTCAGGTAACTCGAAACATGGTGTTATTATAAACCTCTTTTCACCACCAAACAAAAATTTATTTTGAAGCGTGTCAATAATGGTATGAATGGTAAGCCCAGCTGGGTTTTAGAAAGTGGAGTTCTTTCAGGGGAACAATATGGGTGATGAAAAAGAATGGTTTTTAAAGATTTGTGAATAGAATCAGTTCACTGCACCAGAGCTCAAGGACCACCACTGTTGGATAAAAAGAAACATTTTGTCATGAGTCAGTGTCGTGTTTATCGCATGTTCTCGCATGTTTCAGGAACGTGCTCACGTAAACAAAGTTGTTAGATGGAAACAACTGAAAACAGTTCTATGCACAGCCAGGTGCTTCGAGAAAGAAATGCAAAATTTTAAAGACTGTTTTGGGGAATGGTGTTTATACGCCTAAATTAAATTTCATATGTGAGAAAAATGGACATTTGCAAATGTTAAGAAAATAAGTTTTACCAAATGGGTCAATCATTACAAAACAATGCTGCCTTTCTTTCATAATTATCATGATTTTGTTGCTGTCATATTCCTTGTTTGCTGCATTCCTATGAAATCATTTTATTTCCTGAATCCATAGAAGATTTCTCACCACACATTTTGTACATCCATGCATTTGCATTATTATCTTACTGGTCAGACACTCTTTATATATCCGATAATCCCTGTATCAATAAATCAGCATCACTAAGATAAAAACCTACATGTGCAGAGCACTTTTTGCTGAATATCCAAATAAAACAGACAGCAACAGCAGCAAGTCAAGTTACAAAGATACAGTAATTTTTTATCCCTAAGATAATTTTCTATTTACTTAAATCTTCATTTAAAATATATGCAAATGACACAGTGCATCATTTTAAGATAGACACATGTGGCTTTGTGAAACCAACCTTATACAACCATTTACAACCATATAACTATTGGGTTATGTTATATTTCTGTTGAACTTTCAATCTGCATGTTTGTGTGTGAGGATGCTTGCAATGTGATAGAGTATATGGCACAACACATTTAGCCTGATATACTCCTATATATACCATATACAAGTATATAAACTGACAAGATGTAGGTATTCCTGGATACCAAGAGGGCACCCTGCCTTTCACTCCCACTGAATCTGAACAAACAGAATTCACCTGGTCTGGTGTATTTTTGGACTGTGACTCAGTGAGCAATGCACATCAAGATGCCCAGGTGAGTTTTCCTCTGTCTGTCTTTAATCACAGAGTTCTATGTATCTCACACTGGATCTAAAGTGGGATCTATATAAATTGAGAGAGAGAGAGAGAGGGAGGGGTAGAGAGAGAGAGAGAGAGAGAGAGAGAGAGAGGGAGGGGGAGAGAGAGAGAGAGAGAGAGAGAGGGAGGGGTAGAGAGAGAGAGAGAGAGAGAGAGCTGAGCAAGCATGGAGTAACACACAAGGTTAGCCTGGACATAAAGGAGAGAAACCAGTGCCAGAACTTCAGTTCAATAAACTCCAACAATACATCAACATAACAGAAGATGACATTGCATAATACACTGCCCATTTCTGGTATTCCTGTACACAGCTAGCCCTTCTCTCTACAAAGTGTGTTTCGAAGGGACAGTGCAAATTAGTGAGAACTACACTGTTACTCCACAGGGATTCTTGCTTAATGCTATCACATAAACAGACTAACATGCCTCCTTCTGTTTCCAATGTACCTGTGTACTCACCAACATTTTTGTATTTTACTCAACACCAGAAGGCAACGTGTTATTCTGACTGCATTCAGCAAGAGTCCCCATAGAATAAATGCATATTAGCTAGGTTTGATAAAACTCTTTGTGAACAGTCCCTTAGACCCCATTCCCATACCTAGATCGATCTAGCAGGATCGATCTATCTTTGAGGGGATTCTGGCTAAATTATATTCAGATTAAGCAGCTCTGATGTCTCACACGTCTACTGAAGCTGCTAGTTAATTACCCCTTAACAGCTTCAGTAGCCTCGGAGATGGGTCGATCCTGCTAGATGCATCTAGGTATGGAAATGGGATCTTAAAAAACCAGCTTCATGTACCAAACAGATATAACGGGGTCACAGCCTGGTTCAGTACACACCCCCCACACACACAGTAGACCAGCTGAAACATCACCATTAACCCCAGGTTAATTATACTCTAAACATACCACAGCCAGGCCCAAGTGATGGAGCATGTGTTCAGAAATATATCTATATGTAAATTACCATAACCTGGTGTAGGCTGAGTACTGTCAGGTAGTGATATGAATATATACCAGATCCTCGGCTAATCACTTTGCTACTGAGAGGCATGAGATTTTAACACAAAATCAAATAATTTTTTTGTGTTTTCTTTTATTTCTGATGCCTGCCGAGCCCCCCCCCCCCCCCCCTTCCTCAAATAAAAAACAACATTGAATAAATGTCTGGCTACATAATAAATATTGAGAGATTTTTCTTTAAAGCCTGGTTTATCTCTGATAGCCATTCTTAATTCATAGACTTCTATTATTTCCGAGCTTTATCATGACTTAAAACCATCACATTAAGATCAACTTAACATTTTGACCCAGCAGTTGATTGTTAACACATCTACAAAAACAAAAAAAGGGTTAATGTGATGCATATCTGATTAGATAGCTCATGGCGGGCACATCAATCTCTCATCAAATAACAATATCCCTTTTTGTATATCATTGTTAATATATTGTTCAACAAAGAGATGCCCCTTGTTACATAGCCACAAAGGCACGATGGAAAGGCCTCAGGGAAATTGACGGGCTATCCTTATGGAAAACCAGTTGTTGTCGGAGTTGTATGCTAGAGGGATATATATATGTATAATCATGTCTATGTTTATGATACAGACACCGCAGGATTACTAAATATATTAATCTGTTTGTGTGTAAAATACAAAATTAGTCTGTTACAACACTGTATGACACCTTAAGGGACAGTTGACAATGAATTTTGTTGACTTAGCTAACATAGTCTCATATAATCACCAGGTTTTCTATGTTCTACTCAATGCCAGGAGGAGGTGTGTTAGTCTGTAAATCTAACTAAAAAAAAAAAAAAACGAGTCCCCATGGAGTTACTCATGGAGTTTATGGTAATCAGCCTGGTCCACAAAATACATTGATAATGGACCCTTAAATTAAACGATATTGCATGAGTGCATCTTTGCCATATAGCTCAGATCAGGTGCAAACCATATATTCTGCGTGCTGTATTTAGGTTGAACAAATCACACCAGTACAGTAAGTCATTCACAGATAATAATTCATTTTTGGCCAAGAAAGAAAACAAACAAAAATGTTTTCCACAACCTTGCCATTATTTGGTCAAATTTTAAGCAGAACAGTGAAAGAAATAAGTTGAAAAAATTGTAGATAAGAGTAACAAAAGCAGGTTTTATTAACGTGAAGGTCTCAGTTCATAGGATACAGCAGTTTCTACCACTGGAGGTGTGGTGTGCTATATCCAGCTGTAAAAGGTCTAAGTTCAAAGTTATTATTAGGTGTGAACTTCTCTGTCTACTCAGATGGTTCTCATCCAGAGTTATACCATAGCTTCATATTTTTACATGTGGCAACATCAGAGAGAGAGAGAGAGAGAGAGAGAGAGAGAGAGAGAGAGAGAGAGAGAGAGAGAGAGAGAGAGAGTTGATTTGATTTAAGAGATGACAAAAAAACAATAAAAAAATAAATCAGGTCCTAAGCATAGTGTCTGCAAGGGTGGGGGTGGAGGGTTAAAAATAACTGTCTTTTTAGTCAAAAAATGCCTGCTCTGCTTCTTCAAAATTTGATCTAGCTTCATTGTCATTTTTCAACTTGGGTCAACTAAGGGGTAGAAAAGTCCACTTTCCCAGAAAAAAAACTGAAATTGCTGGCTACAGGCCTGTGCTAGTAAACAATAAACACTGTGCGCTGGTACATATACCAGTATCCAGTACATGTACTGTATATTAACAAGCAAACATTTTAAAATGAAGTCACAGAAGTCTCCATTAAAACAAGTACTAATAACATAAAAGCGGGACATTAATGAACCTTACATACTAGCAAGGTCTCTTTACTATATCACATGTCACAGTCACATGTCACAGTCATGGTGGTCAGTCAGCCGTCATGTGTCACAAGTCGACAAAAGGTCATAAAACCCGGCCCCCATAAAGGTCACCAAACTGATCCCCATTGTTAAGTGACATGGCAATGTCCTAACTATAGTGTAATGACACCCCTCACTGCCTGTATACCCCCTGATGTGGATCAAGTTTCCAAAAAAACAAGATCCTTGGTTTTTACTCTGGTGATGATGGCTGTTTGCAACATAAATTTGCACACTGCTCTTAGAGGCTAATCAGTCTCATTGAATCACTGTTTTGTACCATTTCCTGAAAACGTGTCATTTCCCAACATTAAATATTTTACTTTGTGAAATGTAAAGGGGAAAAGCTGTGTATGTTGAGATACATATATGAGGGATTATGTAAATTTATGCAGATTTTGTTTGCTTTTGTTTAATTAATTAATTTTTTTTGGGGGGGGGGGGCTAATACTAGTAGTAGTACGAAGAAAACAATTCTGAGTACTTTCTAATTATTCTAAGAAATACATGTATAATTCACTTGTAAATAAAGGTGACCATTTAAGTTAAATTTCACTTCAATTAATAACATCCACTTATTGTGGCTAGCCAAACTACCAGATAAGGTACACTACATTTTATAAATTATAGTGAAGCCAAGCATGTCAGCAGGATCTTTCCCAAACACAGCTCATCTATATTTAGCAATGTATCTTTCTCTCCATCTCGTGAATACCTGTGCCTATCCATTGTGGCAGGGGTAATTACCCAGGAGGGCTTTAAGATTCTGTACAGTCAAATGTTGTTTATTAGAGCACACCTTAATCCCAGCTACATGCAATAACTGGGTATTTAAAGCTTTTCACCTGTGTGAAATTCTTTTCCAGGACTTGTGAATCATTTCTGTGCAGTTCGTTGCCATTATGGTGTGTGTGTGTGTGTGTGTGAGAGAGAGAGAGAGAGCGAGAGAGAGGGAGAGACGCTCACCTAGTGTAGAAAGCAACTCAAACTCGGCCAGTTTGTATTTGCTATCCTCTTCTGAGGGCGGCGGTTCTTTCCGTTTTATAGAACCAGTCTTTTTAAGCTTGCCCTTTACTTTCGCAGACGCCATTTCCACGGTAATTATAATATAAAAACAATCCCTGTGTTATAATTTAACCTCCATCATAACATCTTCATCATGTCCATAGCACTTCAACGTCCAAACGCCGCTCTTCCAACAAGAGTTCTATCACTTGTCAAAACATGCCTCCTCGCAAAATATACCTAATTGGAGCCCTCGAGCTATTCATAGAAGGCGAATCACCGCCTGTAATGAGTGTAAAAATAGCAGTGTGATTAAGCAAACTACGTGCTTAATGCGCCCGGCTAACGTTTGCAGCAAAATATGAAAATCACATTTACAACAGGCCAGGCCAGGTAGTATACAACTCATGTAACTAGTTCACCGTATTAAAATGGAATCTAATACGATATTTTGCTGTTCCTTCTCTCCCCTCGATACTAAGCGTCACAACATGGACTTGAAATCAGCTCTTTTCCCACCGTCAAGTGACCGGTCTTCTACCTTAACAGTGTCATTCTGCCTGGGACGCTGTCAACTGTGCAACTGGTTAAGAGTGTCGCTCGGCTGTCACCAGCGGCTTGACCTACTTTGTGTCGTCGGGGAGGTTCATGGAACAGCAGACGCTTTAGTTTTGGATATATTTACAGTGCAATATTCTTTTTTGTTTGCATAAACAGACACAAAATGAAATTTTGATTGACTGAAAATATTATAACTTATTTGATGAATGTTAAAAATATAATTAAGAAACTTTACCTTTTGAAGGATATAGGCGAAACGAAAGACAAATTACGGAATTACATCTGCATTTAGACTCTGCAGTACGTCAGAAATTGCCGTTCGGGGGAAAAATACTTCAATAAGTTGCGTATGATTACATGAAGGTAAGTATTATATCAGAACTCTCATGACAAGAATCTTAGAGAACACCCTATCTTACTCGAGATATAGTTTTATTCGGTAAAGCTACGTGTTTGTGGTGGTCACAGCTCGATGATAAAAAGATCCCAAAGTAGGGAAGGCAATGGCAAGCGCCGCGGCAGGGAGCAAATGGTATTGTATTACCGACCCGTGTATTCACTGGTATTGGTATTATGATAAGTGTCCGTGACGCTCTTTGTGCGTAGAAGTGATTCACGTTAAGTGGTAAATACAAAACTTTTGTTAATTCGCCTTACTCGATAGAAAACGGGGAAACAGAAGTTACTACTTCACGAGCACATACTAATACGTTTATTTTCAGAATTTGGAATCGGCTTTCGAATTAAAGTCAAAGAAATTCAATAGTTTTTGTGGTTTTAGAGGAACATCCATACACCTGCATAGTTTTATCTGCCCTTGGGCAAATTATCTTGAAGGAAACCCCCATTTTAATTTCTTACTTGTGTTTCATTGATCAATTTGTCCCTGTATTTGGTTTAAATGTTTTATTTTATTACTAATTAAATAATTAAATGCGTTTTTGCCTGGTGTCCTATATTGTAGGCAGTGAGATAATTATAATGAAAAACAGTCAGACTCCACAGTTTCTCTTGCTCAGTCTGACAACCATTATCACCTGCATCTTAAAAGTGTATTTTGACCAAAATTCTAAAATCTATTTTCCTTTCTTCTGTATGGTATCCTTCTATTACTATTGCAAGATTGTTAAATGGGAAACATGTTTTGACCCCCTTTCTAGGGTAATGGTCAACCCAGCATAATGGACAGTAATGTTGTAATGGACAGTCTACTGGCCACGGGAGAAGATCTCTCTCTTGACCGGCCAAATATTGACCAACTGAGGCAGGACAGGATGGACAGAAATAGGGCTGTCATGGAGGTAATGTTCTTTAGAGTTGTCAGGTATTTGGCAAGCAAATGATTTTTTTTTCTTTTTTGGCAAAAGAATTAATGGGGAAAGAGTGGGAATAGGAGTGAGACAAATAAAGAAAGTTTCGTGAACCAACAATTTTAGACTGTGACCTCAAAGTCCAACATCTTCCCCTCTGATCATATTTATTTCATTTGTTATATTGCATCTCAGCCTTTGATATAACTTCTGTTAAAGCCTAAGCTTAACTCATGTTAACAAGTAATATCTAATGATGCTGATGTGAAGTAGCAATAACCTGTCAATATAATTTCAGGCACTTGATCCACAGGCTGCAAAAACTACCATACCACAGGTAGGTGTTGAGGACAGACGTACGCATGCTCTTACTTGGCTGAAGATTGGCTAAAATATTGAGTTTTCTTTTCAATATTGTCAACCCTTATGTGGAATTTGATAAAGACAATTAAAACATTGTAGGAGGAGAAGTTGTTTAAGTCATATCTTCATGTCCAAGAACTTAAGCATGTTTGCTTTTTACGAAATGTTAAGTTTGCAGTCATTATCTGTAATTTAGTAATTTATATAGCATTAAATATATTTTATTCAAAAATAATAATAATCATAAAATAATTACATTAAAATTAAGTCTTAATTCCATATCTGTTCATCAGACTTTACAATTTAAGTACAATTATGTGGGGTGCGTATATAACAGTTTGATGCCTGGTCATTACGATTTGTGTTGATGTTCATGTTGTGTTGATTTGTGTTGATGGTCTCACCTCCCTGGGGAGGAGACATGTATATTTCAGGTTGACAATCTAAGTACAGCTGAGCATGCCACGGTGTATCCAGAGTATATAATATACCTATGAGCTCTTTTCACATTGTGCATTACACATAATTTAAACCACGGCTAGTGCGTAGAACAAAAGACTCCACCATGCTGTATTCGACATACAAGCACGTCATGTACGAGTGCATTCCACGGTCTGTTGCACTACTAGTGTAGTAGCCAATCAGAGCCAATCAGTGGTTTAAGCCAGATACAACACTCGTCGCCGAGCTGTATGTGAAAATTACACGTGTATTGTCTCGCCTGCTGCTCGCCAATACACTCGTAATATTTCACGTACAGCTCGGCGACTCGTATTGTATCTATCACTAATATAACAGCTATATATACTTTATTTCAGGTGGACAAACTAAGTGCAGCCGAGCATGCCGCGGTCTGTATTCAGTCCCACTACAGAGGACATCTGGGCAGGAAGAAATACACAGAACTACTGTATCAGCAGTTTGAAAAGGTAGTGAGACAGAGTATATGATATACCTTCGGGCCCTTCTCACATAGTGTATTATAAATTGGGCTGTTATATCAGTCTCCCTAAGTATTTTGCGCAATGCACGCCTGAAAAAGGCCAAAATAAAGAGAACACTCATACGGACAGTTCACAAAGTTTTTTTGACCTAGTGCTACATCAACTCTTGCTGAATGCAATCAGATTAACACGCCTCTGCCCGGCATTGAGTATAACAGTCTGTTATTTTTCTACTCTACAGGAAGAAGCACTGAGGTATGAAAAGATGCAGAAGCAGTTAGAAGAAGGGGAGTTGTTGGTTGCAAAGTAAGTAGGTTTACGATAATGGCTCGATCATTTCAACCGAGAGAAGATTGTATTTTTTAAGTGATAAATTCTTTAAATATATATATATTCCTATTGAGTGGTAGGAACAGAATTGAAAAGCAGACTACCTAATAGTTCTCTTCTGTAAGTTTAAAGCACCAAAATGCTATATAGAAATGTAGTTTTTATGATTCCAAAATTATGTATCTGAAATTTTTTTTTATTTTTTCCCGTTGAAATGATCGAGCCATTATCGTAGTAAAACCAACTGGGTGATAGGTCACTAAAATTAAAATTTGTCATATTTTGGTCATATGAAAAGTATTGAGGAAAGAGTTTGATGTCCAACACAAAAAAATCCAGACATGGTTTATCTTCCAAACTCATACCACACATGACTGTGATTTGATCCATACGATGTTTTGGGTCTGTAGGCCTCAGCAACTGCCATGGTATAATTGACATAGGCTGCATTCTGAACAGACCGAGGGTCAAATATGACGACCCAATACAAAGATTGCCATGTAATCCCCTAATAGACACTGAATAGATACCTCTTTGGGAAGTATTCAAGTGGGTCAGCCATATTTTTTCTGAATGAGGCTATACATCAATATGGGACTTCCAATTGTCCTTTGTCTTGGTACTTCATCACACCTAACACACTCCTCTAACACTTTCTCACACTTCATATCATATCTTAACTCAGTCACACATTTGGTTTAGTGAGTCACACCCAATGCAATGTATATAGCTAGTCTTTCAAGGTTTGGCAATATTTGTTCAAGTTTTATTTTCAGCTTTTGGTTTCTGAGATGGTATTTAAACTTCTTTTTTTTTTTCTTACCCAACTCTACATGTAATAATGTTTATATGATAAACCAAAATTTGTAGAGGTATTGCAGAAAAAAGTGGAAGAACTATAGATACCTGTTATTACAAGCAGTGTCAAGCACAAAGAAGAATTAAAGCTCACAAATGAAGCTGTCATAGTATCCTAAACCAACACACAGCACCATAAAATTTGACACTTGATGACACTTCATAATACAATAATAACAGTTCCTAAAAGGCATTGAAATAGATGTTTGTTTTAATATTTATAACATTGGATAGTCAGGAATGTGGTCAAACCCCTGTAATGAAGGGTCAAATTATAGTGGGTTATACATTAAAAACATTTATTCTCTTTACAAATGAGTTAAGTTTCTACCAGTTCTTATGGCCTTTGATACGAAAAAAAAGCAGGGACTTATAAAAGGTAGACCAAAAGATGGCGCTGGGTGCATTATTTTAATCAGATGGACAAGGTTGATCTGCTCGTAGAAGATGTAGATTTGTAGTAAGTGGGTACTTGTAGTGATTAATGTATTATTAGGTACATTATGTCAGTATTGGTTGTGTAGTTTAAATCATGATGTAACTATTCAACATTTAGAAATCTTTTTATCTGTGTTCTGTAAATTTGTAGAACAATATTGGGACTTAGCTTATTCTGAAATCTGTTCAATATTCAGAAACATTTTACTGTGTCAGTGCAATTTTAGCGCCTTGTATTAGAGAACAGCATGTTAGCACAATATATTGGGTTTGTGATGACTGAAAATGTGTTCAATATTCTATAGCCCTTTCTCTATCATATATGTGTCATGCCGTAGTCTCTGATATCTGAAAAAATTCAATATTCCGAAAGCCTGGAAAGTGCCATTACTCCATCTGTAGCTATGTCTTAGATGGTTGAAATATTAGCAGAGCTAGCTGTTGGGTATATGATATATATCCATATTGTTCAATATTCGTGAACATTTTTCTCAATCATCTGATAGTCTGTCGGTATGTTTGTGTGGAGATTGGACTACACATTATCAGGCACCGGGTCAATACGTGATAAAATACATGGTTAGCAGTTGGCCATTTGCCCAGTGTCTAAATGGAGGAAAGATAGATCCAGCCAGAATTCTACAAATTCTCGAATGTGACTTACTGACATATAGAGTGTTATTTCATGTGAAAGTTACCTTTATATAAATATTAGATTTATCATTATGTCCCACTCTTTTTAACCCATGGTGATAATAAGTAAAAAAAAAAGCGTCTTTTGAATTGAGATATGAGGAAAAAACTTGCCAACCTATGCTTGCTTCCTGATTTTTACATAGATATTTGAATGTCATTTAAACCCCCTCCCCCCCCCAAAAAAAAAAAGAAAAAGAAAAAAAAAGTTATATGAATTGTCTCCTGCATGTCGGCTCAAAAGAGCTTAATTTTGTTAGCACCAAGATAATTAGATCGCAGACAACCAGATGTATGCTGAAGGGAGCAGATCTTCCTGTATATTAAGTGTGGTGATGCTATTGTTCAACAGCCTCAAGCTAAAGGGCTGTGCAGTGTTGGGGAGTCTGCAGACACTTTTTATTTTCACTATCGATTGATCAGAGTGCTCCGCGGTGTTATCAGACTGTACTGACTCATGTATTTACTCTTTTATTGATATATTCTCTACAGCTAGGGGTATTCTGCAGTGAACCAAAGCTGCTCAGTTTTTTTTTAATAACTGAAGATATGTAAGTTATTTAAGAAAACTCAAAAATAGGCTAGAAATTGTCTTTTTCTTTCATGATTGAGGATAACATAATGAATTTTAAAAAGAATGTCTTGACTCATTTATTTCTGCTGAGTTTCCAGGCTGACTCATATGTTGTTTACTCCATCCTAACTGCACAATTATGTGCTGAATACATGTAGCTAATACACTATTCACCTGGATTTTTTAGTCATCTTACTTTTTTTTTAATATACTACATTTTCAAGATTTATTGTTTTAAGATGCTCACAACATCGCACTTGTGACATAAAGACAACCAGTTTTTTAGTATATTTGAATAAGCATCTTTTTCTTAGCAGAGGAAGGGGAATTATTGATTCATGGGAGTATGATTTTATTGAGTCATTACCTTGCAATTAAACCTGCACTCTCTAACATTCTGTGCACTACTAGTGCTCATCTCTAATACAAGTGGAAATGACTTACAAAATTTCGTGTCGTTATATAAAATTTATGAACACCATGGGTATACTGTTTAGTTTTATAATCATTGTTTTTCCATTTGAAATAAGTTATAAATACTGATTATTGTCTCAAAATTGATACAAGTTTCAATCGAATATATCTATAAGTCTGACTTACACACACACATACACATATGCAAAATCACATACACACATTGCCAATTTGGCAGAGACTGAAAGACTGTGACAGAAAATGGAAAAGGAACAAAAAAGTACAAGCAGAGACAGCATGCTATAATTTAATTCATAAAACTGCAGCACTTCCAGACGGCTGTAATTGTCATCAACATCATGCCATTTCCATTTCTATTTCAACTGAAAGCTTCCGGAGAACTCAATAAAGTGGCTTCTGAAGTTAATCCATGTGTTGTATGTGGTAAAGGGCACTTCTTGCTCACGTATAATGACATAAAAGACATCTTTTAAAGGCGAGGGCAGCAGAATTCTCAGACTAAAATGATCACGTTACATGGCAAATTGAGATCCATGGTTTTATTTCCTCTCTGTGTGCTGTAGACTTAATTCAGGTAATCACTTAATTCAAGTGAAAATTGACTGATTGTACTTCTCGTATGCCTCACAATTATGACTCATTAGTGAAACATGAAAAAGGAGATGCAAATGATTTGAAAAGTGAATATGTTGTGACAAAAAAGTTAAATGATGTATATACATGGATTTAATGCATAATTGGTAAAATTTGAGAAAGTGTATATGAAAACTTCCAGGTAACACTGTATATATCAGTTTTTGTATTTTATTTATTACAGCAGTGGGAGATGCAATGGAGGGCACAAAAGGCCCCCTCACCCCCCCCCCCCCACAAAAAAAAAAAAAAAAAAAAAAAAAAAAACAGACAAACCAAGCCTTTTTTCACTCTCTGTGTCCTAGTGTAAGGAAATTGTCCTCAACCTACGAGTATTTTAAATTTTATTTGGAAAAGTGAAGTATATGATTTAATCCACATGGTCCTTCCATTAGCAAAATTTTGGATGTAGGAGTTTATCTGAGAAGCAATATCTCCATTACATGTGCCATAGTAATTAGAATGAAATTACCCTCATCTACCACTTAAGTATTTTTGTGTGAAGCAAATTTCAGCAATTATTTTTAGCCTTGTGCAAAATGCTAGGTCTGCCAGATTATGGGTCCTTGGAAGCTTTGTGACCTTGTCCTTTGAGTGATTGCTTTTAATCCTCCGTAGCTTTAAACTAAAACTGGTCAGAATGCGACCACCACCATTGCAGGGAGATATCTGTTCAAATAGCAGCAATGTGGGTGAAGTTTAAGTGATATTGAGCAAGTAGCTGGGAGCTTGATGTAATACTTGACTCAGTATTGATCTTGGTAGACAACAGACTTTCACTCCAATAATATAAGAGTAACTGTGTAGATAGCATAGATTGCACTCACAGGCGTGCACAGAAACCTTATGTGAAACTGCTCAGTGCAAGAAGGTCTGTACTAGTAGGTATGTGGGTTTTTTTTTTACTATCTCATGACTTGGTGCCAGCTCAGCTGAGTGTATGGGTTGAATATAGTAGTTTTGATAGAACCATTATGTTATTGTTGCTCTCTTTAGGTGCTGTATGTGTGTATGTGCATGTTTGCATGTGTGTTTGCATGTGTGTGTGTGTGTGTGTGTAGGAGATGGTGTTGGCTCACACTAAAGTACTAGTAGGTTTAATAAACCAACAGGGCACTGGGCTTACTCTAGTGTGAGGAATGGGAAGACCCTTGTTCAGCCAGTTCTTGTACATTATATGCTGTACTGACAGTGGCAGTATGGTAGAACTACCATGACTTCATTGCTAGGGAAGTAAAGACCAACAAATATTAGATCTTGTCAATAAGGTGAATTATTACTTGATACTTATTACTTCATATTTCATTTATAATATTATATACCATCAAAGGTTGGAAAATTGGATCCACATTCCTTTATATTTCCATGACATCAAAGCGGGGAAATTGGGGCCCACTAGATAATTTCAAGAGATAAGATTAGTGGGATCCCCATAATATTGTACCTTAAGTTTTATATGGACTGGGGATTATTTTTAGGAAAAAGTGATAAAATATTGATATGTTGCTGGTATCACTCTTGAATTATTTTTTAGCTTAAAAGCTTAGGTCAAATGTCAGTAGTATGCGTCAGGGGGACAAAGATGAATATTGTTGAAATATAGTGGGAAATGTTTCCAATACAAATGATGTACAGTATTTGACTCCAAAGCTGTACTAATGTGGGTATAGCCAGGAGAATAGAATTTCTGTAAAGAGATGTCTACTCCACAGACAGTACAGTGATAATCCTCTATGATGTTCTATTCTATTTTCTGGTGCTGTATTTTATATTATACTATACTATGGCACTGTTTTCTATTCTTTTCTATTCTATTCCAATTTGATGCTGTGTTATGGTATGTTGTGTTTTTAAGTTTTAGGGCGCATTGAGAACACAGACATGAGCCTTTTCTGCGTTTTTTGATGCAATTCTGATGGTTCCTGAGATTCGTCAAGGCTGGGTGTTGGGTCCCATGATAAACGTTTGGATTTTTTTAAAATTTTTTTTAACCTAGGCTCATATCCAAGAACAAGTTGATCTGCAGACTAACCAGTCCGCGGATCAAGTATGGCACCATCGACATGAAAGCGTGCCAAGATTTAATTCCTCAGCTGCCCTTGCTGAGATGCACCTTGTGAGAGGCGGGAATCCATTGTCAAGTGCACGCCATATTCAATACACAGACAGACTAATTAGTCCGCGGGTCAACTTTGTCGTGAATACTCTCTCTTAGTTTATATAATCTTGCACATCCAGGATTAATCTCTTGCATAATCAATGTCATGTCTATAGTCTTGGTCTGACATTTACACAGTGTGTAGTGTTGAGTTTAAGTGCACACAATTACCAATAGGCTGTGATGACATTTCTATCACTCAGACATTATAATACTAGCTATTGGTAAGACTGATGTTAACTGGTTTTTCTATGGCTTCTTGGTTCCAGGCTTGGACTGCATGATTATTCACTTCAGCTGTGAAAAAATATGGTATTGAAATGGTGGCTTCATTTTTGTCGCCTTTCAGGCCTTAATAATGTGATGAAGATTTAGTTCTTCTTTAAAGCTGGAATCTATACCAGACAGTCCCCAGATAATCATGGTTGTCTTGAGGTATTATCTTTTATGCTGCGTTGGACACAAAGAAAGAGGCAAATATTCTTTTTCTCTGAAATCCATTTAGCTTTCTTGAAAATTATCACATCCTTGATCTATGTCTGTAGCTATGTCTGTGTACTGCCGAGATTACACATGTATTGCTGCGTGGCCTTGTGCAGGGAAATATATTTATTTATATGGGGTATTAGGAAACTGATGGATTTCTTAATGGAATAACATTAGGTTGGAGGATAAAAAAGAAATGACTATAATATTGTCCTTAGATGATGACCTTGTCACATATTTCAACTGTGTGTCCATTGTTTCTCTTATATACACACATGCACAGGTGCTTGCACACCACACACAAATGCTTCCTCAAACAAACACGTGCAGGAATTCACATACACGCATACACATATGTACATGCACGCACTCGCGTGCGCGCGCACACACACACACACACACACACACACACACACACACACACACACACACGATTGTGGGTGCACACAGAAACAACTCTCACAGCAATGCCTACATATTTGTAATGTGCTCTGAGATTAATATTAATGAATATTATACAGAATTCAGATATTTAACGAAACTTTTTCAAGTAGTTATTTTTGGTGGTTCTTCAATTTCTATACCATTATTCATTATTTCTGTTTAAAATAGGTGTCATATTTTAATATATATGTTTTTTTTCCTTTATTGTAGTCACAAGTTAGAGGTTGAACTGGATGATGATAACACCAAGAGAAGGAACAAGTCAAGACACTTTGAGGCCAGTGCAATTACGTAAGTGACAGGACCCTGCTGTTGAGAATTATTTTATTCTAATATTGGTTTTCAAGGCAAACTATAAATTATATTCATAAATATATTTGTTTCAATATATTAGTTGGGATAGCAAAAGAAAAAAAGAGAGAGAATAGTTGTAAACCCAAAAGATACATTCTACTTATGTTTAGCACTTGCTGATGATAATTATGATAACATCAAAGTGAAAAACATTTCATTTGTTTCTTGTGTTGATAAAATTAAATTGTTTCTAATTTAAAAGAGTCTAAACATGTTTCAACATGTTGAGGTTTTTAAAAATGATAAAATTTTTCATCATCAGTATACTGTATTCCAAATAAAAAATTCTATTGTAATTCCATTTTGACACTTAATTCAGGATACAGCGAGCTTGGCGCCACCATCACCAGGGTCACCTTGCAGATACCGCCTCCTCCGAGCCAGATGAAGCCAGTGAGACAGAGAGCGCAGGTGACCAACACCCCATCACATCAAGCACAGAGGACTCTCTGCTAGAACCAGAAGGTCATCAAGGTCAAATCTTAGGTCAAGGTCAAATGTCAGGTCAAGGTCACATGAAAGGTCATAGGCCAAGTGATCATGTTTCCAAAATCAAGAACTCTGCAGTGAGTAAGTTGGTCGGTGGATCAGAGTGTGACTCTGTCGTGTCAGACTACTCAGAAATGGCCGACCCTGTGCGTGATCTCTTTGTGGAGAATGAGGTGAAGATTGTGAAAAGGGAAGAGCTCGCGGGAGGAAAGAATTTGTGCACTGGCAGCTCTCTTGAGGAGAAGCCAGAGCGCAGTCCCGAGGAAACGCAGGAAGAGTTCGAGAAGCGTGTGCGTAAAGAGAATTATCTCAGTTTGGCCCAGGAATTTGCTGCCCTGAAGAAGATCAATTCAGACGCATTACCATTTGACCTTCATAAGGAGGTCAACAAAAGGGAGTATAGTCCTATGAGTGAGGGCAGCTCAGTAGCCTCTGCACCTGTCACTCCTAGTGACCCAGATATTGAGTTGCTGGGGGCAACCACCAATCTGAATAAACTAGAACAAAATATAGCCAATCAGAACAAAGCTAACAACAACTCATCATATCAGACCAATGCTAATGACAAAACAGCCAATCAGAACACTAAAGATAAAATGTCAGCCAATCAGGATGTCGCTTCCTTTGTGATGATGCCAGATGTCATCCCTCAGCCAAAAGTAGCCTGGGGTGAAGGTCCTGCCAATCAGGAAACCTCAGCACACTCTGGACTGTCACAACCGTCTCACCTAACACAATCAAATGTTAGCGCAGACACCTCCCATGAGAGATCTCACAAATTAATGGAGAATGGACATTCTGTGTCTAAGGACAAAGGTGCCATGGTGAGCAGTGCCAGTGAGGAGTTGGGCGACTTTGACGTGATTGAGAGCACGCTGCCAGAGTTGGATTGGAACACCATAGAGCAGAAGCTGCAGAGAGCAGCAGAGGAGGAGAAACAGAGACTGAAGGTGAGGCCTCTTTTATTTCTTGCTCACTGTGGGTTGATATTTTCTCTTAGTCAACCATCCCTATGTGACTGGTTGATCAGAAGGTTCTAAGAAAGGAGGGGGGGGGGGGCTTTTCCACATCATAAATTTATAGAATCTGTTTGATCAAGTTTGATTTGTTTCAGTTTATTAGATTAAGAAGATCTAGATCAAATCTGTTACATTCAGTGTGATTTGTTTTAGATTAATAGATTAAAAAGATATTTGAACGCTGCAGTTTATTCATTTGTCAGTCTAATATGAAAGTCATATCTGAAGTTTGAAGCCAAACCCAGACTAGTCATGCATATTTACCAATTATATAACCACAACAAATGTTTGATTAGGCTGTCATAAAAACTGGAAGCTGCAATCAAGCTTTAAATGCCAAAAGATGAGCCCAAGTTTTTTTCCCTTCATTTCAATCTGAATGTGACTCATTATTGCCAGTATTCCAAACTCCTGTTTCACCATCAGCTGTGGTTGCAAATTGATGTTTTTTTCCCTAGAATTCCAGACATCTATTCATCTATACAATTCAATATTGTAGTGTGTCTGGGATTGAGATAATATCCCTGGGGAAGTAGTTGATGCTTATTCAATGATCAGACAAATCTGGGTCTTATCTTCCTACCCTGAGTTTCACAACCTGACAGAGATTACTGCTCTCTGTATACCAGTACGCTCTTCTTTAACATCCTCAATGAGGCTTTAATATCCAGGGTGCTTTGATATCCAGGGTGCTTTGATATTCAGGGTGCTTATTTATGGGCCACAATAGACCTTATTTCATGAGAATAAACTGTGTCATTATGGTTTTGTTAAGGTTGTTAGTGGTTAATTTTTTGGCTGGTCTGTAATTACACGAACAGCACATGTACATATATAAGTGAAAGAATTCCTGGAACTTAATGAACAATGATGGATCTTTATGACCCCAACTTGAAATCACAAAGTTGGGTCAATGTTAATGCACTAAATGGTAAGTTTTAGTATTTAATAATCCCCTTAAATATCCCACATTTGATTCAACTTGATGACTGAAAACATTCACTCATTTATGGACAGCAAGTGTGTAGGTTCAGGGTTAGTTCTGAGACAGAGGTCAGCAGTCAGTGATGGTCACAGCCAAATTCCAATTGTGTTAGCTGTGCTGTAGGGACAACACGGCACAATTGGTCACTAACCAGCTATCACAACCCACACTGTGCTGCTTGCCTCCAAGGCATTGTTTCTGATGAGATATGACATATCAGCTGAACTGAAATTTTGGATATGCAGTTTATGGGATTTTTTTTTTTTTTTTTTTTTTTTTTTTTTTTTTGTGATTTTATTTATGTAAATTTTATTGTTTGGAAAATGAAGTGGCACCGGAGGTACCAGAGTAAGTGCAGTGCCAGGAAAGAAAAAACTGAGTTAAAATGAAAAAAGTTAATTCCCTCTTCTATACACCATTACGACCTTGATGTCCAATCCATATATCGTTATACAGGAAAATACTTGTAATATACATGAAAGTTTTTAAGCTTTCTATAGCTGATTACAACGTTCACAGTGGCTTTTTACACTGACCAAAACGTCCACTGGCTATTCATGCACTAACTACCATCAAGCTCGATTATGGCTCAAGAGGCTAGAACCTTTTTTTTTTTTTTTTTTTTTGCTCATCTCAACCCCCCTCCCCCCACCCCCACCCCCACTTCCCTTCATCAAAGTGCTGCAACCTCAAAAATGAATATCCAGAGTAACAAAAAGCAGCTCAGAGAAAAAACTTACTTAGCATGTAGATGTTATTTTTATTTCCAAATGTGTAAAAATATGTCAGATTAATTCAGCTTTGTGGTCTGATACCCTCCCCTGGGACATCCCTGTGGGAAGCTCTAATGGATGCTTTAGTCTTCAGTGAATGTAAAGTATCAGTTTGGAATGAATGGGAACACGGTTCACGGCTAGGTATAATATCGGCATTCAAGAAATGCTCCACTGTGTGGGACGAAATTGGTGGATTTGCAACCCTAATCTGCCACCAAGACAGGTTGACTTAATAGCTGGCTTTTGATGAATTAATTCATCTGTGAAATTTGCTTCCTGACAAATGTTTTTTTTTTCTCTCTTAAGAGAAGTTTTGGTGTTATTCTTTTGTCTAAATATCTTTCAGGGGAGGAATGCGGACAAATAATTTTTTTTTAAATATAAAACACTGAAAGTTATTAATTAAGCTAAAACAAAATCCCCCCAAAACTTAGTTTTAGTTGATCTTTGTGGATGCGTTTTAAACTTTTAAACAAGATCTACACAGTGATTGTAATGAATATGACTTTGATTTTCACTCAAGACTGTTACATTGAAAGACACTTCTGATGAGTCAAAGTCGTTCCTCTTCAATCTATCTAAATAGCATCTAAACTTACGGTCAGTCAAACCAGATGCTATTTAGATCTGTCCCTGTGGACAAAATTCATTCTGGACAGTCTTTTCGTTATTAATATGTTATGAGAGGTCCAACCTTAAAATTACACTAATAAGGACCTTGCTCATTTTCCCCCAAAGTTCGCTTTTTACAGTAAGGACAGAAGTTCTACCTGGGTCATATGCACTTTATAATTAACAAATAAATAAATGGCAGAGAATGTCCAATGTGTCAGTAAGTAAAAACTAGCTGTTGATTTTAATTGAAACTGGCTGTCTTGAGCTTGGGACCTCAGTTAAAATGATTCATGTGATTTGCATAATTGCTAGCTGTTTGACTGTCTATCTTGCAATTAAGAAAAAATAATACAACAAAACAAAAAAAAAATAGAAGAAGAAAAGAAAAAAGGGCGGAATGGTTATTTATAACACTCAGTTAGATAAGGCTTTAGTTTGACACCTGGAAATCACTTGTAATGTATTTTTAATGACAGCAGTCTTAAACCTACTTTATTCACGTTCACAATGGTTACGTGCGTTTGTCTGTTTTTCTGGATGCCTAGACTATGACAGGGATTCTTTGCAGCTTTTTACTGGGTTTCTTATAGAAGATTAACTATTGATTTTAGGGAACGTCCTTTTAGTTGTTATAAAAAATCACAAGGGAATTCAGTTAATGGGATTTCTTTTTTAGATATTGGAATGTTATACTAAAAGATGCAATGGATTTTTGTTTTTTTAAATCTTCCCATTGTTTATTGTGTGACAAAACCAACCGATGCGTTAATGATGAACAGACAGATGGATGCACGCACGCACTCATGCGCATAGACATGCGCGAGGAAATATGGACAGACATTGTCATGATATTTTAAAGAAACTTTATAAAGTATACTTTGACTTGTAACTTACAGTCGCATAATAAAAGTGAATAAAATGATAATATGACTGTTGATTGAATTCTTAATTACTCTCACGCATCACACAGAAGCAAACACATGGTATGTCTTCTAGCTGTTACTGTCTGTTCTATGGTTCCACACAGTCAGTTACACATATGCCAGATTTTTGGAGAGATCTCAAATCTTGTGAGGATTCTGATCAATATTATGCAATTATTTCTGGGGAAAATGGCATCTTTAGCTGTAAGTTATCAAAAATTGTAGGTCAGGTCTCTATGGGCTGGAGACCAGACATGATAGCAGACAAGTGCCCACTGCTCTGGTTTCTTAGAGCGCATTCAACGCAGCGGATTAACACATCCGCAGATCAAATATGGCGACCCACTAAAAAGCTTGCTGCTTAATTCCCGATTAGACTGGGTTCCCATCCCTAGATTGATCTAACAGGATCAGTCCATCTCCACTGGGTCCTTTGTTAAATTGCTTTCAGCCCAAGCGGCTTAGACGTCTGGGACACCCACTAAAGCTGTTAAATGATAGTTAATTACCCCTTATCAGCCTCAGCGGGCGTGGCAGACATCTAAGCCACCCAAGTTAATCGCAATTAAGCAAGGATCCCCTCGGACATAGTTCGATCCAAAGTTTGTACGATAGTCTCTGGGAATGGTCTCTTAGACATCAAATAGATCCCCCATGGGGATTACATAAGAAGCATTCAAGTGGATCGGCCATATGTAATCCGTGGATCTGTTTGTCTGCTGTTCTGAATGTACTCTTAGAGACTCTTCACTATGAGTTATGTCCACCTTGCTACTGCACACAAACTCCAAGGGGACTCTTGCTGAATGCAATCACTAACAAACAAACGCGTCTCTTCCTGGCTTTGAGTACAATTCAGAGATGGTTGAATTGCTGTGTTTTATTTTTGATGCTAGTAGTTAGTATGAATAATTTTGACCGACTTTTAATTCAAGGTGTGTATCAGGACTGAAATTGAATTACAAATTCCTCTCTGTTTGAAATCTCTGGTGGGCTTGGCAATTGTAGTGACCTTTTAAAAGAGCACAACCTTTTAAAAACCCATATACAAGTGCAGATGAAAACTGTTGTGAATATATGTAAAACTCAGATAGAATTTCAAGTTAATGATGTTTGTGTAAGAGATATTGATTTTCCTGAAGATATTCCAGCCGAAATTATGTCTCCGGGATTTACTGGCAAAGACATGCATTGGGCAGTGGGATAAACTGTAAGAGAAAGGCGCATTATGTATCTATTTAACTTTCTTAAAAGATCGTTTAAGGCATGAGCTAGATCTCGTATCTATTCAGGTTGAGATGATATAATTATTTATCTCCAGTAACTTAAGGAGTTTCAACTTCACTAGAAGGTCTGTTAATCCCATAGCTCTCGATGTAGATGAGATTTAAGTTCTCCGTGGCACCAGTGTATGTCCTGAGTTTTCGAGTGACTGGGCACTAAAGAGAAAAAGAGGACGCACTGAGAAAATAGCGTTATCAAGTGATTTTAATTAATTTGTAATACATATTCAAATTTTGCTCAGCAAGGGTATATTTTTTATTAGAAACAGGAATTAGGGTTGCATAATTGTATTATATTCTGCTTTCCTGTTGATTAACTGCCGTCTTGCCTGGGAGTTAATGTTGTTTT